AAAGTTCATTTTTAATTAGTTTTAATGAAGCTTTATGCAGGTATTTATACAAGTTATTACGTTTATTATTTTAAGCAATAATTAAAAACATTACATTTATTAATTATTTCTACATCTATATTAAATAAGGTGATTTTTCAAAGAAATTAATTCTTGAAAATAACTTTTCCGTTTATTTACGTAATTATAACCTCACAAGTGATGCAACGATGTACACACCACCTAGGCACCGCGGATTACTGACGAAAAACTGCATAACTATTGTTTATATGCACTCCGATGCGTGTGATTGGCTAATACGCTGGCGGCCATCATTGTAGCTTCTGAGAAAGTAGGTCAAATTACACCTGTCGCTCTTAGGAATGTCCTTCCGGACGCGGATGTAAACAAACTTATTTTTGTTAATATTTAAGCGCCAGGCGCCACTAAACCCTTAATTTTTACATAAAAGGTAACTTTATTATTTCTTAACCGATTTTGATGCGGTTTTCACCTAACTTCATGAAATTTAATAACGTTTACTGCTAATAGCAATTGAATATATTCTGTTAACAAAAATTGTTTTCGTATAGCTATAATACGGCATGTAGGTCCATGAAAAGTAGGTTTACCAAATTTTTCTAATAAATTAATAAAAAAAGGTAGATTCAGTTGTAGTATTTATGTATTTGGTGTTCATATTTCTATTTGATTAACTATTTTATTTTCTGAAAGGGATATTAAATTCTTGCAAAATACTACAATAAGCAACAAACATCTCTAAATTTGACATTGGCGTTTCTTTCTCATTCTGTTATTTCAATTTTACTACGATTTATATTCTGCTCTGTAAACAGATACGTGTTTTTACATCAGACGATCAGTCACGCTTATCTCTGAGCCACATTCCAACTTGATAGCATGTACAATGGCAAACGGTTTGAGGTTTTTAAAACAAATATGAATTGGTAAGTTACTATTTCGAGCTGTTTAATATAATTGTGTTGTCGTTTATGTTTGGAATAGTAATAATACCTATCATGTTTTTTGTTGTTTGCATTAGTAGCTTCATATTAAACAGAGAAATATACGTACAAAATGTGATAGTTACGCAAAAATAGTCAAAATTAAGAAACAGAACCAAGAAAAATTGCTAAACTTCTTTGAATTACAGAGAATATTTACGTGCATTACCTATTCCACTTTTCATTTTACTTCCCTGCGGATTTTTTAAGTAATTAAAGCCAAAAAGGGGTAAAAACCTTTTTAGTTACTATGTAAAAACTACTGTCAACATCTCGCCTTAAATTATTAGGTTTCCTTAGGGCTAGTTTAAGTCAGTAAAGGTTGAATTAAACAACAATATTAGTTGTTAATTTGTATTTGTGTCACAATTATTTTATGAAAGGATTATACATTGATTTATTATTATTATATTTAGTAACGATTTGATTAATTTAATTCAGTCTGTAAATATGCACGTATATTTTTTACTGTCTCATTGTCAGTGAGGGATAATCTTCGAAACAACTGGGTCTATTTCGTTGGGAGGAAGTCGCGATTTTCTTCAAACTATAAAACTATAATCTATCGATGTTATTTATCGAAACAATTTATTTAAAAGTTTATTTGTTTTTATTAGTTATCTAAATAAATCAGGCAGAGAACACACATAAATTTGAATATATAGATAGGTAGGTATTGTAGTTTAATGTCGAGTCCGTGAAACATTTTGCGGAAGTCGTTTCGGGGCGAACGATTCGGGGTGAGAGCGTAAAACCGGGTGTAAGTGCGAGACATCTTTAAAGTATTTAAATAAATAGGGAGAAATAAAGTGGGCTTACGAGTTTAGAGGCCGTAAACTTTATTGGTACATTCCGTCTTTTATAACCGCAACACGTTCCCGTTCGACTCTGGAAATTTCCCGTATTATTACATTCTGAATTCTTCGTCCACAAATAAATGCAAATTCGATCGACGGCTTTACATACGTACAATCGTTCGTTCCGTTTTGAATTGAACCGCTTATAATACAATCCTTCACTATTCTCTGTGACACGAAAGATCTTTTAAAATAATGACGAACTTCAACCACTTCAAAAAAAAAAAATATGTACCAAACAAAATAACGAAATAAACACAATCAGCAGAACAGGGTGAAAGTTTAGTGGATGCCTGTAAGATTGACGTGCAATTTTACTTTACGAAAAACAAGTCACTTTTGTGTTCACGATCGCAAAAGGACCCTGTTAGATCCTTACGGAAAATAACTCATTGAAACTTTGGATTCTGGTACTAGTTCTCGATGTGTAGATCAAACCGTTAAGGTTGCATCGGTATTTTTAAGAAATGCGCGAAAAGATTAAAGATTCTAATTTGTGTAATAACTTTTCAATAAAATTTTGGTAAACTACTGAATATTTAGGATTATAAGTAGGGTTGCCACCTTTTCAGGCTTTATATAAAGTATTTCTCGTCTAAACGCTTGAAAAAAAAAGTATTCACCATAAAAATAAAGTATTTTATTTTTTGTTTTTTAAAAACATATTTTTTGTTACACCTAGCAGCCAGTAACAAATTGCTGTCGCTCTTAAATACATTAATAGCCTCTAAACATGGCAAACAAAGATTTAAGTAAACTAAAAGTTCATTTTTAATTAGTTTTAATGAAGCTTTATTCCTGTCGTCCCACCACTTTGCGTTCATAACAGAGAATACTCTTTCCGACCGGAACGAAAGTGACACTACTTTGAACAGATTTGGGAAATCAGGTTGTTCCGTAAATATGGTTTGCCATTTTTCTGTGCAATATTATTAATGTAAAAATACTCTGAATTTAGAATAATCGTTTACAAAATTACGATGTTTACTTAAGGCCTTAAATAAAGTATTTTTGCGTACTTCATGTGTCTTGTAAAGTATAACGTACGCACAGTCGAAATAGAGTACTTTATAATAAAGTACGGGTGGCAACCCTAATTACTAGTCTAGTACAACAGCTACGACTATATGCTAATACCACTTGAATATTGTAAATTTATTGGAATGAAAGCTTTATTGTATACGTACTTTAATACTTACGTGGCCTAAGTCTTTTTCTTCTTTTTTCACTTTTTTATGTTCCGGTTCGGGAGGTGTCCGTGTTCGATATTTTTCACGTTCTGCGGGAGATATCGAACTTCTCTGAAAATAAAAAATAAATATTTATTTTTAACGTTAATACAAAATCTTTGAACAATAGATAACAGCAACAAAACCCTCTTCTGGTTCTGGTCGGAAAATAAATTTTCTTCGTTGTTGCTTAAAGTACATTCAACTTTATCTCATTTCCTATTCTGTGACTGTGAAAAATTGATCCACATGTGAACGATTGTGTAGAAGTTTTTTAAGATGTTACCGAATTTTAGATAAGACATAGTTGGGCGCGACAGAAACGCGATGAGAATTTGTAATTGCCTTTTTCCAAAAATCGCCATTTATTGCACGTTTGTAGTTTGAACACGCTATCCATAAATTGTGTAATATATTTTTGGTATTTGCCAGAAATGTAGGCAGTGAAACAATATAAACAAGAGGTTCTTTAAATTCGACTTTTATCATTCACTACAAATCCGAAACACGGTTCTTATTTTCCCATATGTCTCAATATGTAAATATTTATTTTTCAGTAATCAAAATATATCTGTGTTCTAAATCTGAAGTTTGATTTTTAGTAACTCTTTTTTACAAAAAAAAAGTAGCATTCTTTTTTGTTAATAACAATAATATTAAACCTTGAAATTTTAAATAAGAGGTTTCTGGTGATTTAGTTAGTTTTCAATGAAACAATTTGTTTAAATAATTCTTCTCTTTTGTTACAGGCATCATTAACTATGACCTATCCCATCCAGGCAAGGAAATTCTCGGGTACATTGCACATTCTAATGGTTTTAATTAAATTCCCTGATCTTATGTGAATAGTCACACGTCTGGAAAGGACATAACCGACAATTTCCTTCCCCTATCATCATTATCGTCATCGCAGCAGTAATAGTGGTCGTCACCCCATTTCCCCCTGCTGTCTGGCATTAAACCCAAACCTCTTCAACAACACCAGTCATTTTATTGAGCGTGGATAGAAGATAGAGATAGGCAGTAAGAATTAAGCTAGTTTATGTATTTACTCGACTGTAGGCACTAATTAAAGTTGCTAGAGGTCTACTTTTGGTAAAACATCACCCTTCATACACAATGTTGCACCGTTATCAGCAGCAATTAAAACGAAACCATTACAAAAAATTAACTTTTGATATTCTAATCAGTCAGTAATTGAAAAATATCTTTTGTAAATTTGACACTTTTCACATCTTATTTTGTATAAATAATCGTCACCATAACTTACTAACTTTTCAAAATTAAGTTACCAAAGTTACTCATATACTTCCAAAGTGACATTGGCTCTTGTTTTTCGAAAAACAAAAACCTTTAAGCCCTGTCGGCTATGATTAATCCATTGATTAAATATTAGGGACAATAGATTTAAGTTACCACAGTTTGAAAGCATTTAAAAATAAAATTTGAAAAATCACTTTTTCGACGTAGATTGCTTTCGTCTTTTTTTGAATTAGAACAGTTGTAGCGTCCATGGTTTTTAAAATTCAGTTACCAAATTTTGATAATTTTGTTTCGAAGGCATAAGAATAAAAACACTTTCTTCTGTGGGGATTGGTTCAACCGTTTTTTGGATTTCAAATTTTGTCATTTCTTATTGCAAAAATTAGAGGCACTGTAACATCCAAATTGTTCAAAATTCAGTTACCAAATTTTAATAATTTTGTTTAGAAAGCATAAAAATAAAAACTAAAACCATTATTTTCTAAAGGGCTTAATTCTACCCTTTTCTGAACATGAAACTTTGTAGCATCCGTAGCCACTGCAACAGTTTCCAATGTTCACTTACCAAATTTTGATAATTTTGTCTAGAGGTACAAAAACAAGAACTGCATTAAAGCCAAATTTTCCCGTGGGGGTTGCAACCATCCTCAGCAGAACTTTAGTATTTTTGCAGTACAATTTAAAGCCATTGCGATTATATAGTTTTCAAAAATGATTATTTCGTTTAAAAACATTACATTGATCCTTTTCTAGAATTTCTTGTAGTACAAATTAGAGTCATTTTAACTTGAAGGGTAGTATTCAATATTCAATTGACAATTTTTAATAGTTATGTCTACAAAAGGGGAGAATTATGTTTGTACGGTCAGATAATGTTTTACAGTTCATGAGTTTTACTATAAATTGGCTAAATTGAAATAATCATTTTTTTTTTAACAATTCATAGTTCACAGAGCAAATTTTTTCACGCACGAATTCACGCAGTCAAAAGAATTTCACGCAACAGTTAAAAGACCGAAGAGGAATTTTAATTTCGGTAGTTATGGCAAATACTAAAATTTAACGCTCTAAAAATGCTGACAATTAATTTAAAATCCGTTTCATTAAAAACGCTATGCGGATGGATTAATTATGAGTAGTTCATCGATTCGTTCATCAGCGTGAACAGTAATTTGATAATGAATTTGATATAATATCCAGCGGCTTCAATTCATCTGTTTGTGGCTAAATCGAATTGATATACACGAAAACAACAACCAGCCACGCATATTTGGATATACCTACCTAAACCAATTGCAGCCACGTTTAACTTATTACACTACGTAAAACACCTTAATTATAAGCCTACAAACCGATTGATTTAAAAGTCGTATATTTATTTTTGTAAACGTATTTGAAGTCATTAGATAATTCTTGATTAATACTTGTAACAATTTTCTTTTTGGGGTTGCAGTTGTGCTATGTCCAAATTTGTGTTGTGTGCGGCTATGCGAAGTGTATGTAAATTATAAATATTTGAACGAATGTCAGACTAATTTCGATACACGATCAGATGCAATTCGAAAATGCACCGGTCAGGAAAAAGGGAACTGAAATACATTTAATTATGCAAACGGTTTCAGTCCGGACATGAACGTTGAATATTATCTGTGTGTTTATACCAAAAGGCCCCGCTATTACCGATGAGGTACCATAATTATTCATTATTCCGAGTAATCCATTTAAGCTAAACATATTTCAATTTCCATAATCACAAAATCGAGCCTGTTTTATCATAGGCAGTGTATAATATTTACAGTACTGATTGGACGGTTTCTATGCATCCATTCAAGCCATGTCAACCACTGATGATGGTACAAAAAATAAAATTAAATCCTACAATTAATCAGTGAGTTATTTTTTCTTAACAACTGAACGTGAATTTTAAAGTAACGTAAGGTAAAAATTTAAAAATAAGCAAAATTCTGTATATGTAGAAATCGGAGCTGATAGGGTGAATAATGTTATAAATAAAAACTTTATTAGCCCTGATTGCTGCATATTACAATTAAAATGGAATAAGGAATGCTATTGATAAGTGATTTCTGTTGATTTATTCCTTACTGAAGGTACTGTTCTGTACTAATCTATATATCCCTGATTCAGATCGAATAGCACAGATGAATTGTACTATAATTTTTTAATACAACCATTAAAATTTCAACTGCCTAGGATTAATTTTTATTACCCCTTTTAATTCATTATACAAACATATATTTA